AAGTGTGTAAATGCTTATCCAAAACTATGATTCTCTGTTATACATGCATAATATACCAATACTATACAATACAACACACTCATTCTAGCTCCCTTCGAACAACTCAAGCGCCTAGTTAATTTTAAAAAAAATTTTTGATCCTAGAAGCAGAAGTCTAGCTTGTAATATATTATGAACTAGATAATATTTAGCTTAGATAAATTTGCAGTGTAGATTCATTAATTTTTATCTATTAGCATTATCATTCCTGTTCTTCAAACTATGTTTAATAAATATTCGATCAATTCCAAAAAAGTAAACCACTGCTATTTTTTCTTTTATATCAATGTCAATATCGATTTACGAAATACTCAGTTTTATTGCACAAGTCTCATGATTTAGTATTGGAACTTAGTCTTAAATACATAATACAGTGGTTTGATTTATATTTAAAATACTAGTGTTTCAGTTGCCAAAAGAACGTGCATATTTAGCGAAATACAATAGAAAGAAAATTCATAATGCAAGAGGTGAATGAGTTACAAAGTAGTAATGATAAAAAATATAATTAAAATATTGTATAAGTTCGTAAAAAATTCTACATGTTGATGAAATTTTCCCATAGCATATTTTGCCCTAAGCCTTATTTAACTTTGAAAAAATTTAACACTAAAACAAAGTTAAAGAAAAAATATCAGCATACCGATTACTGTGCTAATTACTAAGTTGTAAACCTACACACATTCAAGAGATGAATAAAAACGTTGATTATTTCATAAAAATTTCAACTTTAGGGTTGAATTATTTGAGGATAGGGTCGAATAAATTCCATTTTAATTACAAATTAAGTTACGTATCCTGCATTCTAGGTATTAAATGGATTCTAAGTTCTCGCCAATGATAAGATGAATCACAAAATAAGTCCAATTCTTGATCTTTATTTACAAATTCCATGTCATATTTCATTAATACTGCCACCAAAAGTACTTTTATTTCATTTAGCGCCCAGAGCTTTCCCTGTCAACGTAAATCATATACAGTAAATTAGCAACGTTCTAATTCATAAATTATATAAATTATAACTTTACTAATACTAATACAAACCGGACAAATTCCAGCACCACCACCAAATGTTGCAAACGCCCTTTTATTATTTGCTTCTTTAGCATTTATTGATCGTTTACTATTCTCATTCTTTAAAAACCTTTCGGGATCAAAAATTTCAGCATCAATCCAATCATTTTTATTTATATTTATTCTCTGGTAATTTAAAAAAAAATACTTGTCCCTCTCTCCATAGATAACCACCAACTTCAACAGGCTCAGAATTTGATCGTTCCAGAGCTAGAAATGGCGTGATTAAGCGTAGAGCTTCTTTAATTAAAGCGTCACAATACGATAACTTTTCTATATCTTTGTAATGGGAATTTAAAGATCTTGAATGTCTGAATATCATGTTGATTTCAGAAAGTGCTTTAGACTTTACGGAAGGATATTTGCATGTAATAATAATATCCTGGCTTATCGGAGTTTAGTGAATTTTCCTAGGTTGTGTTAACAACCTAGGAAAATTCACTAAACTTCGATAAGCCAGGATATTATTAATTAATCCCATGCCCTCTTACGTCATTACTTAAAAACATCATAGCCTATAATAAACTTTTTGATGATATAAAAAAGAACGATTTAAAAATTAAATAAAAAATTTCTTTTACTTTGATTCATTAAATCGTTGTATTGCGAAAATGAAGTCCTCTTTTATAAAAGCTTCAGACTATGCATTAATATATGGAAACTTACCTAAACAAAGAAAATTTGAAAAACCTTCAAATAAAAAACTTAAGTTATATATAAAAAATTTGGTTCCTGAAAATACACAAAAAAGCACGAATGTGTAGGCAAAAATGTTTAAAGAGTACATAAGTGACACACATTCTGAATTAAACCTTGATACATTACAAGTTGAAATTAAAGAATTTAACTTTACATTATGACAGTAGATATTATTTGTTTACAGTTCACGATAAAACACATCAGGGTGGATATTTTCATCATCATTGTACTTGTGATAAGGCCCAGGAACAATCTCACATCATACCACCTGACAAACCAAATGAAATTGGGCCAAGTTCAGATATTAATCTTTATATATCCAAATGACCAGTTGATGCAAATGAAGAATTTTTTTTTCATCCACTTATTAATTACTCAAATAATATATTTTACTTTTATTTATTTATTTTTAATTTTACATATACTACATATTTATTTATACTGCTACATATATTAATATTTAAATTTAGATGAAAATAGGTATTCAAATAAGCATTTGGGTCATGATAAACTTTCTGGTTTTTTAAAAGAAATTTGTACTATTATAGGTATTGACTGTAATGGAAGAAGAATAGTAAATCATTCAATTCGCAAACACACTGCCCAAAAACTGAATGATGCAGGAGTCGATGTTCAAGCAGCGATGAGCATTACTAAACACAGAACAATCGATGTATACAATATATACAGATCTCAACATGAAACCAATGTATTACAATTGCTAAGTTAGTAGTACCTCCTGGTACCAAGAAGGTATGTATGTATATACATTACATATATACATTTAAATATATTTTATTTACAATTATAATGATATGTAATACATATTTTTTTGAAAAAAATAGGATAACAATAATAAAACCAACCAGAATAATGAAGCCAGTGAACATAATAACCAAATCAATGAAGTTAATGAAGCCAATGAAATTAATAATGAAGTTAATGAAGCCAGTGAAATTAATAATGAAGTTAATGAAGACAGCATTGAAGTTAATAATGAATTTGATAAAAATAAGAGTAATAGTGATGATGATAATGGTCGCAAATTATTACTTACCCAATCCCAATTGCCATTTGCTCCTTTGTCCACAAATGAAGATGTTCAAGAATTCTTCTTTAAGGACTTGAATCTTAAAATTTCCAATTGCAAAATTAAAAATTTCAAGATTAAGATTAATCATTAGGATTCTTCTTTTTCTATAATTATGTAAAAAAATAGTAGCATTAGTGTTAGTATTGATGATAAAATATAATGCATTGATTAGTAATCAAATACTTCCCGGGTTGTTATTAGTAGTAATTTCCTGGATGGCTAAGTTTACTATAATAAATGTTACTTATCAAGTTTCTTTGTATATGAATTTTTCTGGGAAATTATTCTTACTAATTCCCTGGCTATAATTTTTACTACCGGTTGCAAATTACCTCCTAGAAAAAATGACGTAAGAGGTCACATGCAGGGGATTAATATAATAAAATACTGAACACATTGAAGTCGTAACCTGTTATAAGTTAGATATTAATATTATGAAAATTAGTATTATATTCATTGTTCATTACACCAATATAAACATTATATTAAATAATTAATTACTGATTCAATGGAACCCAAGAAAATGTCTCTAATAGCAGCAAAAATTTCATGATCATTTAACGGTCGGTTTAATGACTTATATGAAGTATATTCTAGATCTCGTGGTGTGTTGGCGGTAAGGAGCAATGTTAAAAAGTCAGACGGCAGTAAAGCATAGTTGGATAATAAATTGATTTCCACACGTCTTCTTTGAATTAACTCTATTAAAAAGTCTTTCAACTGCTTTATAGCACTTAAAACCTTGTTGTTAAAGTAGCTTATGCCAGGAGTACGTCTTATAAAAGATGGAATTAAAATGAACCCTTGAATTAAAAAAAAAGAAAGAAAATATTAAGCATTTTAAAAATAATGGCTTATTAGCAATATACGATATACTGTATAAAACTTATTACATAGTCTAATTTAAAAAATGAATTAATAAGAGAAATCAATTTCGAAGATTGTTCTCGTTCTGAAATTGGGATATCATCGAGATTATATTTATATCCCAGTGAATTGAAATAAGAAATCATTGAGTAAGTAGATATTCCAGTTGATGTTGAGACTGCAGCAAACGTTTCAAGCCATTTAGACAAATCAACATCTCGTTTGTCATGTATCATGATATCCCATAATTTAAACATATCTGTAGCCTTTTCATATGTTTTTTCGGTAAGCATTTTTAAAAATTTTTTTGACATTGCCATTTTTATGAAGAATTCGCGATTGATTTTCCATCCTTCCAAATTTCTATTAGCAAATATTCCGCAATCTTCCATTTCCAAATCCTGCAATCCAGGATTTGGTATGTCACGATATAAGAATTTTTGATTATGAGCCACTGAAGAGGAGTGAATTGGAAATGCTACATCACTATTTGAAATTACGAGAATTCGTTGTAAACCAAGGTGAATTTCACAAAAATCACCATATTTCAATTGAATTTCTTTTAAGTACTCTGCAAGATTTAACTTATATCTAAACAATTCTAGAATATTTCCTAAAAAAGGCACCCAAGGAAATGGACCGGGAAGCGGATTTTCTCTAGTAAAATATTTATAATAATATCTGATTATATATAAAAGTAGTAACACCGCAATTGATGTTGGGAGATTGATAGTTACAATATTTATAAAATGCATCATCGTTATTATTCAATTAAAATGTAAGAATAAGGTAGAATAAGGTAACATAGATTCTAACGCTTTATATTTTATTTCGAGATAATCAGCTGATGGAAAATTTGGAATTTCCATAGATACGCTACTGGACATTTTAGGCATTTCTTATCTAAATATTGATATCGGACATTCGGATGAATATTAGATATTAAAGCTAATAATTTAAAGACGTACGTACGTACGTACGTACTGTTGGGGGTTAAATGTCAAATATATGTATACAGTAGTCCCATATAAAAATCAAATACATAGATAATTTTTTCGTGTAACATTCACGATGCTCTATAGAAAATGCTATAGATTTTAACGAAATTATTAATATTATTGAAATTTCTTAAAATTTTTTTTATTTGTGACTATGCAATCGGTAAGCCACTCACTTACTTTCTTGTAATAAATTTCAAACAAAAAATAACTACTTAACAAGATAGCTGCACAATTGTGTTGCGCTATATTTGAAGCACTAATTTTGTGAGTTTCAACTTAGAATAGAGTTATGTTTTATATCTGGATATATTCGGATATTGTAAAAAATTAAATTTTGTTTTTTATTTTTGCTCGCATGTACATAGTTTATTAGTAATTCCCCACCCGTTTTGGTAACAATGCACAATTTTAGTATATTATTAACTAGATAGCTGCGCGACGTTATTGCGCAAAACCAGGAACGGAAAACCTAAAAAAAAAAAAAACTGTTAATTATCAACATGACTGCTGGATGATTACTTAACTCTTCAAAATATTACTTTTTCGACAATCAAATCAATAAATATGCCATTTATCTGCGCTGATTTTTATTATCGATATACAATATGAGTGTCGCTAAAAGAAAACCCGAAAATTTAAATATAAGTCATATTTAAATTTTCGGGGTTTCTTTTAGTGACACTCATTTAGAGATGGACATTCTGCGTGTATGCAAAACATAATGTCGCATAATGTAATATCGACA